GGCCGGTCCCCTTCGCGCACGGCTCCGCCCCGTCTCCCCGCGGCGGGGTTTGCCAGGGCGGCGTGAGGGGTCCGGCGGGGCGGTGTGAGGGGCGGGGGCCTGGCCTGAGGGTGGCACTCCCGCCCTGGCCCTGCCGCCATTTTCCTCACGTCCTCCCTGCCCCTTAGGGAGCGAGGCGTAGAGAAAAGCCTTTTATTGCAATCCTTTTTGCTTTTATATAGTTGTTCTTTTTACATTGAAAGCGCAGGTTGGGAGGTGCCGGCTGAGGCAGGCAGGCTGGACAGGCTGGGTGCTGGTGTGGGTCATGGCAAGGCCCGGCCGTTGGCGTGGGGTGCCAGGGGCTTCGTGGGCAGCCTGGTGCCGACCTGCTTGTGCTCGTGGTAGTGTAGCTACAGCCCTGGTGCCACACTGTCGTAGAAATAAGGTGCAAGAAGTTCGTATTTCAGGGGATGAAGTCTACCTGTAGCTTGAGGTCCAATTTCAATAGGTACGTCGTGATAAAAGCAGCTCTTCTGTATACTGGGATCTTGGTTTAACACTGCTATTTCAGGTTAGCTAATGCCACTTTTTTGTCTTTCAGGGAAATCATTCTTTTTATCAAGAAAAGCTTACTCTTCAGTTCTGGGATGCGTAGCGTGTGGTCTCTCACATGTAAATCACTGAGGTATTTTATCCTCCTAAACACCTCGTGCTGTATTTGGACTGACTTCCCAAGGTCTCAGCTTGGCTGAAATCTTTAAGGCTGAGATCTTTAGGATCTTGTCTTCTCTCGTGTTGGCTTAAGTGCAGCACGTGATCTTGTTTCTCTTGAAAGAGAGAACTCTGTGTGCTACAACTATACCTATAATATAAAGGAAGCGTGGCCGGCGTAATGAGATAGATCCACAGTGTTGCAAAAGAGTAAATAAATGCATTAATGCAGTGGAGTGTAAAGCAAAGTGGAATAAACAGGTCTGCCTACATATTGTTCACATGTTTTAAGATTCAGTCGTTCACTGCTTCCTGCAGAGAGTGGACTGCTTGGTGCTGGCCCTTTTCATTTTCATCTAGCTTGCTACAAGAAATTAGAATAATTTATATGTGATAAACATTTCTTTTACATTTTCCATCCATACAAATTTTAGTAGTGATCAGAGAGGCGTGCAGCTGCAAATGGAAGGGGCCTTTATCCATACTGCAGGAAGTGGGAGTCAGCTGAACACCCATGAGACTTAGACTGCGAACACTACGGAGGGAGGAAGATGTAATTAAGACAGTGTATGCCATTTAGATCAGCAAAATCTGCGTTGTGTACTAAACCTCTCCAACCCCAAGATTCACCTTTCATTGATTGCTCTATGTTGTATTTTCCTTCTCAGGGAAGTAATGTTGCAGACAAGCTAGCAAGCACCCAAGCTGAATAAGTGTCTGGAAGAATCGAAGAGGTAGGTTGACAGTTTTCATGCTCCGGGTTATAAATGATGGTGAAATAGGGTTGGGAGAAACATTACCTTTTCTTCAAAATTCTAATCAAGATACACAGAGAATAACACAGAATAACCAAGAATAACACAGATCCTCACAGTTCCCACTAAATACGTCCCTGGCAGCCTGGTACTTCGTTATTTATCATCGTCCATTTTTTTTATGGTAACAGTTGAGATTAGGTTATTACTGACCTGGTTGGTATTTGAATTTATTCCCTAGAGGTTAAAGACTTTGTAGTTTCTTGTTCTCGGTCCCTTTTAAAATTCATAATTTTGGAGCATAGAAAATATATTGTTCTATCAAGTTTATTTCTCTGACATTTATTCAGTGTAGAGTGTGATCCTAATATTAAAGGCTTTTGATTTGAAGCCTGGGGTACAGATCAGTTGTTTCCCTGGCCTTCCCTAAAACAGGTAATATTATCACTGTGGTTCCCCTTGTTGGCGTCTAGGAAGTTAATATGTTGAACGGCATAATTATTTGAACCAGTATTTGTTTTTAAAGGATTTGTGGGTGATAATAGATGGCTCAACCCAGTTGTGTCAGAAGGTATTAAGATTTCCGTCTGCTAATGTCATGGAGTTGGTCCTATATAGAGCCATAAATAATACTGTCTGAGAAGCAGTGACAGGCTTTTACTCCACCTCGTCTCTTCATCATGTTATATTAAATTTAAACACAGTTGTTGAATCCCTTTGTGTGGGTAAATGCTTTTTGATGTCTCCTTCTATTAAAGTTGTAATATCCCTTTTAACCAGAGGGCTGCATAAGAATTCATACTTGCTAGGTATGTTTCTCAAATAATCATAATCTCATTAACGTTGCCAGCGGAACTAATTGGGCTGTCACAACGAGGTTCAGTACCCAGTTGGAGAATTATGGTGCAAGGCCAATGGAACTAAGCATATTCTGATGGTGGAGAAAGTTAATGTGACTCATTAATGAGATGCTCATAAGCATTATTCTATATGAAAAGGCAGGTAGTTTGAGGTTGTTTTTTTTAAACTCTGGAAGTATGAAGGACAAATGCAAGAACTCTTACGAAATTTCAAAGCATTTGTTGACAGTTCAAGATGCAATGAAAGTTTTCTTCTTTATCAGCACAGACATTGGAAGTACTGCCAAGTAGCACCTAGACGGCATAAATCATTGATGAGAGTGGATAGTTTGAAACTATTACAAAGGAAACGCTCTAGGGCATGCAGCATCTCAGGGAGTCATTGTTTAGGGCCTGCCGTATTTAAAATGGTCATTTCAGTTTCCATTAATTCACATCTCTAATTAAATGGATTGATCTTTGCTTAAAGTTGCTCGAGACTGGCTGGTGTCCATGGCAGATCAGAAGTGTGCATACGAATTAAATATTAAAAGTGTCCACAGAGTTTCAGATAGAAAAAAATGTAGATAGCTGTAGGTAGCTGTTGTTAATTATGCTCTGGTTAGTAGGAGGAAACCACAATTAGCTGCATTTTCACTAGGCTTCATGGTGGAGAAAAGAGGACTGAAAATCTCTTGTGAAAAAAAGATAAACTGTGTCTTACTATCTTGTCCTCGGTCACAGTAGCATCTCTGCAGGCAGGTATTCTTTCATCTTAGTCAGACTTGGTAACCACCCAGGGGAGAAACATCCAGTGAAGATCCTGGTTGTGAAGAGCGTGACAAGTGTCTTTTTATGCCAAGCTTTTGTACAATGTGTTGCTTCTGTAAGTTGCTGGAGAGCATTGTACGCTCTCCCCAGAGTAACCTGAGGAAAGGATGTCCTTAGGATGAGACAGAAAACAGAAATTACCACTTGGGATTATGAAGGAGCCACGGCTGCGTTTACAAGGTTTGGTATTAGCCTCAGTGCATAGGCTTGATTCCAGTTAGCATAACTACGCTCTACCTTCCTAATTTTGCTTTGCGCTTTCAGCTGGATAAATACTCTTACTCACTGTGTGTCCTAGTGTGATGGTAAAGAGCAAACATCTACCTTCCCGTGTTTGGGTGCAAACTGCACACATAGATTGCAGATTTCCTTGTGAGTCCTTTCTCCTTCCAATAGCGAGAAATTGCAGTGATCTTATGGGAAAACACCTGAAAATGCAATAAAGTTCCATTAGCCAGCATTATAAAATATGTATTCATATATGTACATACATAGATATTTCCATTTATATGGAAGCATCCGAACTCCTCACCAGAGACGTAAAGGCCTGTTGGAGAACAGGCACAGCGGTGGGAAGCGCTCTGTCTGAAGAGCAGAGAGGAGACCGACCAGGCATTTGACAGTAGTTTCTTACAGAGGAAGTAAAACTTGTAGTGGAGAAGCGTTAGAGTTAGATCCACTCTTGATTTCTCAAAGTACTACACGTGGAATTGTCTGTTCGCTGATCCCAAACCTAAGATCGTATGGGATGGGACTGAATCTCTAAGTCAGGTGTTTCACGATAGTCTTGATCTTTTCTGTCTGGATAGATTCAGTGCTGCTTACAACAGCAACTTGAGCGTAAGAAAGTTCCAGTGCACGATCCTCTTCCTTTCAGAGACACACAAAGGTGGTGTTTTAAGTTGGTTTGCATCCTTGTCTACGTTTGCAGCAGGTCGTTTTTATTTTTCCCCATGCAGAGTTATTGTAGGCGCCTTCAAGGAGATGCTTTAAGTAGCTGGGTATTCAAGATCAGTGGTTTATCATTGTGCTTCTGGGGAATAATGCGTCCCCTTAGGTGGACAGGTTAGGTTTTTTTCCTGAACATGACATTAATTCATGTGAAAGAGGAGAGCTCAGAAACCCATAGATTAAATGTTGGAGATTTTCTTCATTTTCTTCTTTCCTGTTATTATTTTTGCTTAAATGATTTCCCCGTGGACCATCCTGATGAATTCCCTGTGTGTTGCTGTGGGGAGAGCTTTCAAAGGGAAAGGCAAAGTCACTTTCGACAGATCGATACTAGACTTATTAATCAGCTTTCTTCAGTAATAGGTTGACTCTTTTGGGAATCTTTCAGAATTTACTTCAAACTGATGAGTTGTTTTGACACTTCAGAAAATGCCTTCATTTAGAGATTGCAGCTTTTCATATTGACAGTCTGTTTAACCCATCATATATCCATCTG